GTTGATAGCAAATGCTAAAGGTACTCAAACAGATTAAGGACTCTGCATATAAATAAATAAATATATGGTTCCAATTTTCTAACTATGTACTTGCATTTTGTTTTACATTAATACCAAGCATACTTATGAACACAGGGGAAATCTTCAGTCACAAGTTGTGTGTCCATAGAACAGAGTATCTGAATGTATCATAATCTCCTTCAGAAAGAGCTCTTTTTGAGGTTGCTTGTAGATGGAGAAAAAGCATTTCAACTAGAACAGCATACTTTTCATGCAGCACTTCAATCTAAAAGGCATCCCATCTAAACAAGAAAATAAGAAAACCTTACTTTAGTAGTGTCCAATTTGCTGTGATGAAGTTCCAAAACCTGTAATGCAGCTTGAAGATTGGCTTGTGGCTCTAAGAGTTCCATCTTGATTGGTCCCAAGCAATGAACACTAGGCGGTGAAAGATACATCCGGAGCAGAGACAAATATACCTGTTTCACACAAAACAAACCATTGTGTTTAAAAAACCATCCAAAATATCTAGCTGTAAGTATGCCTTTCCACAACATAGGAAACGTATCCAACAACAATCCTATACACTTGTATAAAAAGTGGGGCTACAGATTATGGGGTCAGAATATGATTTTATATGCAGTATTTAAACCATCCTTGTACTATAGCTGTTAACATCTTAGCATCAACATTTAACAAAGGTGTCAGAAGGTAACTTGTGAACTAAGTATGATCCTTCCCAGCCTTCAAAATTACAGTAATATAAGCATCATAATATGCAACTGGCCAATATAAGAATGCTGAAAATAAATAAATCTATCCCAAACTGCCAAAATGAAAAAAAAGTCTGACAATTTCAGACACCGCCCACTCTGGGGGCTGCAAAATGGATGCTAGCTGGCTCCATATAGCCATAAGCCTCCCTAGCTTAAAGTGTGTGAAACCAATGGTTTCATTCAGTAAATTAGGATAAAGCACCCATAGCAGAACTGAGGAGGAAAATGACATTGGCACTGGTCTACAATTCTATATGGAGCTATTCATGAAGTATATTAATGCAGAACACAGCTGCCAGGAACTTACAAAGATAGCATGGAATATGTAACATTGATTTTATAAACTGTATTGGCTTCCAGATTGGACCCTAAATGCCAATGCAAAAAAGCAGCCAACCAAATAATAACAATCCATTATTATGTTCTTTCTTGCACTTAAGCAACTTTTTAATCCAATGAAAAATTATATTCCCTGATTTGCCAAATATTGGCATTAAATTAAAAATTCCACTATCTAGTTCACCATTTTTATCTAATTGTTGCATAGTGGCTTTTCAAACTTCCAGAATGTGGGTTCAGTCTCAATCTGCAAATTTATTCCCACAAAATCACATGTTGATAGATCAGATGCTTTACTTCCATCCCAAATAACAAGTGGAAAAGTAGTTGGAGCAATTATAATTAGGAGTGCAAGAAGGACAAAAGTTTAAAGACTCTCTCTCATTTTGTACTGAACTTGCTCCTTCCACATTCCCAGCTGGCTATTTATTATTTTTAATAGCACATATCTATTATCTGCATCTAACTATGCAGTGAATGTCAGGTGTAGTTTTGCCCAAGGTATGTTTCATAAACACAGGGCATTAACTTTAAAATAAAGAAAAATATAACTCACATCTTTGTTGCCATCTTTGCTTCGATCATAGTGTGTGTGACAATAACTGAAACAATATCAACAAGAAATTCAGAGTCACCTTGAAGAATATCATAAAAACTACATATTTGAATTTTAATCAGTCAGTTGATAGCAAATGCTAAAGGTACTCAAACAGATTCCCCATTTGGCAAAAGACACTGAAGACATGTCTGACTACTTTGGAAGAAATAAGAGTAAATGGAGAATAGGCAATTTTATAAAATTAGAAATTTGGTTAGTTCTGCTGAATACATTTTACAGAAGACCTACTTATAAGACCTCCTTATAAGTTCCAGCATGATTTCAAATGAAACAAGTTCAAAATCTCTTGTTATATAAATTTTTCATAATCAACTCTCTTGAAAGACTTCAAAAATCTTGGAGGAGGATTTTAGATTTTAACCTGAATTTGCCTGTAACTGTTTGTTGCACAGACTCTCAAATCCGTATCATCAGAAATTGATACTGAACCCATAAAGGTTGGCTACACTTTCTTAAAACTGTATGCAAATTGTTAATATTTCTAGACTGTATTGGAGTAAACTGCCAAGATTACCAAAGCCTTCTTGCTCATTACAGTGACATTAAAATTGTTATTATTACGCATTGTATTATTATATGAACTTTCAATTTAGTTTTGCATCAACAACCAAGTAGAGAAGCCATGTTGTTGAAAATAAGATGGTCTAATAACAGTTGCCAATAAACTGATAGTTATCACTTTCAAAGATTACAAAGCAGGCTCATACGTTTCAGCTATCTTGGTATCCTTCAGGATGTGAACATATATAAATAGAGCTTGTTCATGATTCCCCATCCGTCCCAAGAGCAGCGCACGTTCTTCTAGGAGGCCTGAGCACGTAGGAGAAAAATAGCACTCAGTGGCAATATAATTTATAAAGCAGTCTATAAGAATGTGTACAGTAGTGAAGAAGAAAGAAGGAAAGAAACAATGGAGGAACTTGGAATATAATATAAATTGCTATTTAAAGGATTGCACAAATCATTCAAAAGAGGTGCTCTGCAAAGCACTGCTCTTCAAATCTTCAAAACTGCCCTGCCTTTTTCTAAGCTTGCATAACTACTTCAGGAATTACTACCAATTAATCAAGATTAATCAAAATCTTTTATTACAATCACAGATCAGAAAACTATTGATTATTTCTGCAGGCATGCCTAGTTGCGTTACTTTAGTGCCTGGAGATAAACAACAAGTTTATTTATTCATTTAAATCAATTTATATGGCTGCCCGTCTCACAAATGCAACTCTGGGTGGTTAACAAGGATTAAAAAATACAATATAAATTCTCTCTCTCTCTCTCTTTCTCTTATATAAGTTGCTAACATGGTAGAGGGTCAGGCTAGATGATCCTTCTAACTCCACAATTCTATGCTTTTAACTATTTTAGAAATTATTTGCAACACACTCATTTGTTTATTCTACTGTGTTAACAACCTGAGCACCCATAGAACCACTTTTCATATGTGGTTCTTAATCAAAGACTGCAGGGGCTTTTTTTGCTGTTGTTGTTCTACAAACTAAAGCATTTGATTTTTATGGAACAGCTCTTAAATAACAGGCAGATATAGTCATAAATGGGAATCCTCTTAGGGAAATACTTAAAAAAAAAAAAAAACCTGCAATAAATGTTGCTGCCTGTGCCCACCATGAGAGACAGCAGTGCTACCTGACTACTTCTTACCGTCAAAGGGAAAGTCACTGATGAGTTGCTCAGCACTGTAATAACTGGAATTCTCAAGAAAGGAAAGAAGTTTTTTCCGGTATTCTCCAAGCTCCCCCTCTTCCTCTCCAGCTGGCACCGGTGCTTTGTCTGTCAGAAAAGAATTGCATACACGAGTAATGCATTTTACTGCTTCTCCTTTTTTGTTGGGCTATCTTTAATATTCTACTAGCACATAATCATTTTTTCTTCCTTGACCCCAAATAATTAACAGAAAGTCAATATTTCTGTACACCTCCTATAAATGTTCGCTTATTTGTAGAAGCGAGCAACCCAAACAGTGCTACCTATAAACTGCAGAATCGTCCTTGGGACTCCTCTGCAGCAATCCCTGCTCTACTCTTGCTCCTAGTTTTGCATAATGAAATAGATCATGGGTGAAAATACCTGGAGGGAAAGAGCTGAGATATTCTTTCATCAGGCCTTGCACTTTCTCACAGTAGAGCTGAATCAGGCAATTGTGGAACTCTGAACCAGCCTCTTTCCAGATATCAATTACATGCTCCTGGAAATGTATGTATATATCACAAAAATTAATGGTATGTATCTCTAGAAGTTCTGTAATATTTCAAAATGTGATCACCAGGAACTCAAAATGACTATGCATCTCCTTATTTAACTATTACAAACTGATTTTTAAACAAAAATCATAGCTAAAATTATTCACTTTCATAAATAATTTAGATAGACTGAGAAATATATCTGAGATTTATACTTTTTTATTATTTTACCATAAAAAAGTAGATTATTACAGTCTGAGTTCTTACCAAGTAAGGAATAGCCAAGTTTTTAAAGTTCTCTAACAAGAAGTTCAGAATCCTTTTTCGTGGGAGGGTTTCCACCTCAGGTAGATCTTCTGTAAATATCTGCAAAACAAAAGGTTGAATTTCCAAAGCTGATGCTTACATATTTACCCTGATTTTACTAAAGTTCAGATAACAAGACCACTGCATTATAAGGGCTGCCATATTGGAATAGGATGTGGGATGCTAAGGTTAGTCTACCCTAGCCCTGAAAGCTCACTGGGTGATTCTGGGTGGTTGACTATAATTTCAATTCAACCTGCCCCATGGGCAAAAATAGGAAGGAAGGAATAGGAATAGGACTGGGCAAAAATAGGAAGGAAGGAATGTTTAGTAAGCCACTTTGAGCTCCCAGAAGAAGGGTATAAATGTAACAAGTAAATAAAATATACAATACTCTCTGATCAAGTAGCTGCAATTAAGTTTTCTTGAACCTTTTCAAAGACTAATCAATATTTTCCCAATCAATACATCATTTTCTTTGTGTTTTCTGTTAATCCTTGATTTGCTATTATGGAGCTGATGAACCCTATTTATCTTAGGACCTCAATGCAGTGCCTGGGGTTAACAATGCACCTACCATCACATTTTTAGCTCTGTCAAGCTCTTTGCTCAAATTGTTTTAGATTATTTGAATTAAAAAAAAAAAGAATGGGAAATTAGCATATTGGAACACAAAGCACTTGCTTCAAGCGTAATCCATTCTAAGAAAATGAAACAGTGGTTAGTCAGTTGTTTGCATCATGAAAATATTCTGTGATTGCCATGGTATAAGACTGCCCATAACATGGTCCCCAAATTCCAAGTGACCTGACTACTCCAAAAAGCCTTGGGGCCTTCTTTTTTATATAATTTTTTGGTTTCCTTTTATTGTCAGTAATCTAATCCAAAATTAGTGTCATGTGCCAATAAGCAAAATATCTTGTGAAAACCTGAGATTAACTATGCAAATATCACTGCTGAGCTCAGACAATTAGATGCTACATAGTTGAAATTCACTGCCTGCCAAACAGTTGTTTCATTCTTTTTGGACAGATTACAATATCAGCAGCTTTCTTTGAGGGGCAATTGTTATTTAGAGTAGTCCCCATGTGGAGTATGGAGTAAAAGTAATCCTTAACTTATTTAAATTGAACATAGCTTTAGGAATATTAGCCAAAGTGGCAACAATCTGCCTAAGACTATTTGCTTTACTATCACAATGATCAGTGAAGAGATCCCTTCCTCCTCTCTGTTTTTAAATGTATCCAAGTGTACTTACTTTTAATCCATCTTCAGGAAAATCCCTAAGCACCCAAACCGAATAGGAAAATATTAAGTTCAAGTTCTCTGTTCCTACAGTAAGAAACACAGAAGGCAAATTAAAAAACTACAAAGTTCTTTGATGATGGAGTATGGTGCAGGTGACTAGACACATCCTTTTTAAGGAGAAAAAAAATATATACACACAGAGAGAAAACATGGTTTTATCACACATGCACACCATCAAGCTCCTTAACTGCAGAGCACAATCAAGGAAGCAAGATTCACAGATACTTTCTTTCATTAGTTTTAATGCCAAGAATTAGCTGTTAGAGTACAGAATCTTGAGAACTGGGAAAGGAACTTTCCAGCCCTCCTTTATTAGCAAGTTAACTAAGGCAGGGCCTCTGAAGCTTTTGAAACTTTTTTTGCCCAGTATATTTGCATGATGAACTAAGTGTCTATTTATTTGTAAGCCTGTAGATCTCTCATCTACTGACTGACTGTGTCTAGAGATACTCCACTTTCATTCTCAGTTTCTGCAATCTATTACATACATTCACAAAGCATGTCTTACTCTGGAGTAAAATAGTACAATTCACTTGCTGGAAAACATATAATTGACTATGTCTTTAAAAGAACAATTCACAGTATTTATTTTAAAATGCATTGTCTGCATGAGCCTCACACCACTCCTGGAAGATCTTATGAGGTGTTACTGTATGTGCTAAGGCGATGATGATGATGATGCCACCACCACCTAACTCCCAGCAACTCTGGGCAGTTCACAAATTGTTTGAAATATTTAAAACAAGAAAATCAACAAGGAACAAAAGGAAGGGTAAAGATGGCAGGATGACAAAAACAGATGGGAACTAAGATAACAACCTAGGTTAAAAGGAAACATCAGTCATCCACGCCAAAGGCTGGGGCAAAGAGCCACATCTTCAAGACCCTTCAAAACACCACAGGGTGGGGGGTCATTCAGATCTCAGGGGGAACCCTGTTTCAGGGATGGACACAGCTACAGTGAAGGCGTACTTCTAGGGCCCTGATAGATGGCGTTGCTAAACTGAAGGAACCCAGAGCATGCCAACCCTGCCTGATCAAGTCAGCCGGGCAGATACTCTGGGAGACAGGCAGCCTCTCAAGTAATTTTTTGAGGGAGGGAAGAGAAAAGTAGCAGCAGGTGAGGTGATGGTGCAAGTAGATAGTGCTGCATCTACTACATGGAAGAGTTTTCTGTTCTCTTGGGATGGAGGGTTTTTTTTAAGATTATGTGAGGTATATGCTACAGTTTCCATGCTTGCTTCCTCAAAATGGCAGAAAAATTAAATTCTATGGTGCAATCCAAAGAAGCTCTAAAGAATAAACTCTCCCCCCCACCACAGATTTTTAGGTCACAACTTTCCTACTGCTACACATACCATGATTATCACCATGATTTCTGAAGATGCTGTCTAAAAACCTTGCCGGACATACCTTGTTTTAGGAAAACATTCACTCAAGCTTCTGAGCAAAAAGTGCCATTCATTGGTTTTCATACAATCATTATTTTCTCAGTCTAATTTCTTATTTTATAAAGTGATCTTGAACATTGTTACTGACTGGAGTGAACCCAGGCATTATATTTTGCATGCTTGATTATTTTTGTGATAACTGTTAACCATTTTTCTGGATATATGATATGATATGATATAGCATGATACCAGCTACAAAGAAATTAAATCAACTTCACTCACCCAAATGTTGTAAATACTCAACAGTTCTTTCATGGCCCTTCAAAGGAGAATTAGCTTTCTTGGACTGATCCACTAGCACCTGCAAGGCTTTAGCAAAACAGAACTCTACTGCATTATCTTTTAGGTTAAACAATAGGATAGTGCAAAACCATTTGGAGGACCACTCTGTGAAGCACCTGTCCAAACCTGCTGTTCAAAGCATCACAGCATGAAGTCCTCTTGATGGCTCAACATAGCTGTGCTGCTTTAAGGGCCATCCACAATGTTCTGAACATACATGTGCATGCCAAATACCACTTTTCACAAATCTGGGAAAACTGTCACATCAAAGAACAAATTTGGTTTGCTCCACTAATGCTTTTGCCAAGCCTTTGATTACTTTAGTAATAACAAATAACTAATATTCCATAGGCAATAAAGTATTTTCTACTACTACAGTACCAATTGTCAATTTTCTTGTAGATATTCTACACAGATCTGCAACATGTTTTGAATCTGAACTGCAAGTGTGAAACAGGGTGTTTCAATCATTTGAAATGTTGCAAACTCAACTTCCAAAATGATTGCAATAACCTGTTGCTCACCTGAGCTCAGACTGTTTTAAGCACAAAGTGTTTTGCATACCCCTAATGTGCTAGCATACCAATGAAGACAGATGTAAATAAAACACTGGCTCATGTTGGTATGAGTGCACTTTAGCTTTTTTTACTGTCCCTATGCTTATAACACAGAAACATATACAACTATGTTACATACTCCTTGCATGTTCATTCTTCTATTGCAGGTAGTCCTCACTTAACCATTTGTTCAGTGACCATTCAAAGTTACAACGGTGCTGAACCAAGGGACTTATAACCGGTCCTCACACTTACAACCATCGCAGCACTCCCATGGTCATGTGATTGCAATCCGGATGTTTGGCAACCAGCTCGCACTTACAACGGTTGCAACGTCCCGGGATCACATGATTGCCATTTGCAATCTTCCCAACCAGCTACTGGCAAGCAAAATCAATGGGGAACTGTGTGATTTGCTTAACGACCGCTGCAAAAAAGGTAGTAAAATCAGGCATGACTCGCTTAACTGTCCACCTAACAACGAATTTTCCGGTCTCAATTGTGGTCATTAAGTGAGGACTACCTGTAGATTCTTTATCCTGATCCCTCTCTCAATTTAAAGGAACAGCTCTAATCTCTTCTACTCAAATCCTGGACACTTGCTATTAACAAGTAAGTAGTCAGTTTTATTTTTCCAAGTGCAAGTTAACCTTTCCCAACATATATAATTGAATAGATTATACGTGATCCTCAGATCAACCATCAACAGAGGAATAACTGCATAAAAATATAAATATTGCTTTAAACAGGGGCCACTGCCCCCCAAAAAGAATAACCATGCTTTTTTAAAAGTGCAGGGATGGCACTGATAATTAAATACAGGCTTTATTTTTAACCAGACTTAGGGTTAAACTAGATATATCTATAGGATCTGGGTGATAACTTGCATATTGATTGCAATCATACTGTGCCCTAAGAAATGTTTTGATAAATTAGCCAAAAAGCTGAAATAAAACTGGCAAATAAACAAAGCAAGCATGGCTTGTCTGGCCAATTTCTGGCTTGTCTTGCTATCCAGGCACTGTAGTTCTTATTAGTCTTCTTTGTACCTCTCTGAATTCATAAAAATAAACCAGATAACTATAAACTACATAGCCCAGTACAGGTAGTTCTTGACTTATGACCATTTGTTTGATGACCATTCAAAGTTACGACAGCGCTGAAAAAAGTGACTTATGACTGGTCCTCGTACTTATGACTATCGCAGCATCCCCGGAGACACGTGATTAAAATTAGGGCGCTTGGCAATCAGCATGTATTTATGACGGTTGCAGCATCCTGGGGTGTAGTGATCACCATTTGTGACCTTCCTAGGGGGCTTCCAACAAGCAAAGTCCTTGGGGGAAGCTGGATTTGCTTAACAAGCATGTAAGTTGCTTAACGACGGTGATCTGCTTAAGGACTGCAGCAAAAAAGATCAAAAAATCAGGTGCAACTCACTTAACAACCGCATCACTTAGTGATGGAAGTTCCAGTCCCAATTATGGTCGTATGTCAAGGACTACCTGAATGAACAGCACACTGCAATCAGTATTACCCTCCCCCCACCAAAAAAAATCTGATTTTACTTTGTATCTCACTCATTTGCAGAACTTGCTCACACATTATACTACCCAAAATGAACAACTTAAAGTGATATGGAAACCCCTTTGGTTCCTTCTTCCTTGTCACAGCACTTACCCTTTTCATGGAGACCTTTCTTCTCGTATAGTATGATTAATTCACTGTATTTGTGAGCTTTCTTGAGCACATGCTCACTTTCCTCAATATGGCAATGATTGTTCTCCAATCTCAATAATGGTGCCACTAGAGCTACATTTGTCTGTAATAAGCAATTTAATGGAATCAGAAACAATTTCACAAAACCAAAAGGAAATGTGAATCAAGGAAATGAAATAATGTATGTTTTTTGCAAATAATGAGGTTGTGCCACCAACAAGGAATTGGATGGCCATCTATTCTTCTCACTTATAAACATTCTGTTTTTGGCAAATTCAGTAACAACATTAAGGTACTGTCACAAACCCTGCAATGTCCTTTTGCCCATTAACTTATGAACAGTAAAAGTTGCAGGGCATATATACTTATTTTCATTTAGGATGAAGGCAGATGTAATATAAAGAAAGTAAACAACATGGTCCTCAGCAAATCCTCTTGGTTTCACAACTGAAGTTAATGATATCTGTATGAATGACAATTTCACAAAAGAATGGTTGAAGAATGGTTCAGCCACAATTAAATATATTTTCTGATTTTAAACATTTTTATGAACACTGCCCGTTCAGTTTCATATGATTCTTCGCTCACCTCCATATTACATTTTAAAATTATTTTTAAGTGCAATTCCATCAGGGACTGGGACAAAAAAATATTTTAGTTCAATACTAGACATGGAATCCCATCAGTACGTTAATGCCAACAATATTCAACCATATTTTAGAGCTTCCCCTTGAAGATAAAGGATTTGTTTGGAATTAACTGAAAAAGAAAGAAATTTCTAAAGCAGTCTCCTGCCCCAAATGATATTTCACCATAACATTAAACTCTACTTCTGCTCTGAATTCCCAATTCAAAAGATGAAGAGTACTCACATGGAGGAAGCATTTCAACAGGGTAGTATCAATTATCTGTATCAATTTCTTTTTGGATTTGATGGTAGGAGTTCCTTCCATGAGGGGGGATGTGGTGGACTGATGGTCAGAATCATATAGCTTCTTCACTAATTGACATCTTTTCTGTAAAAAGGAAATAAAGTTAAGCTATACCATGCCCACATTACCCAAGATAAAAACCAATGAAGCCTCATTCTCCTACTTTCTCTGTGCTCTTTAATTCTTTTACTCAGGTCCCTCTGTCTTCTCCTTTTTCCAGTGTTTTGTTACATTTGATTTCCCATTCCCTCTAATGGCCAAGATCTTGATCACAAGCTTCCTGAGACAGGGACCCACCTTCTGCACCACACGGAGCAAGACAGTGAAAGGTGCTCATTCAGAGAAACCACCATTTTCTTGGCATGGTGACTTCTCATATCAAAGCTCTAACATAACCAGAAGATCACAGCTTATCTTCCCCCCAATTCCTTTTAAATGTTAAATAAAACCAGAACATGGCGTTCTATACATTTTAAACAATTCTGGAGGTGGTGTCCAACATAAGCAGCCATTGGGAAGACACAATAAAGAGTGAAATGCTTACCTGAGTTAGGTAGTCTATAAGTGCTAGATGTGCTTTCTCCAATTCCGCTGCAGAGAGAACTGGCACTGCATTTGGATACTGGAGCTGCTTCTTGTAATCACTGGGCAACAGTTCAGGATAGAGACCTATCACATGTGTGGGATCTGAAAACAAACACAAGTGTGGTAGGTCAAAATATCTTTAACAAAAATGCAAAATATAACCAAATTTAAATTTAAATTCAAAGCAATCTCTTTTATCACAAAGATAGTAAAGAAACTAATTTGACTAAGATATATATATAAGCAGCAAAATATTATGGATTGAATGGTATGAGTAGATACATAGCTGGCTTGAAAATCATACTCAGGTGGTATCCATTAAATTGGAAAGAAATATCAAGTGAGTTTCATCAAGTTTAATCCTGGGCTTTGTATTCTTCAATATTTTTATAATTAACTTGGGTGAGGAAGTTGAGGCAATGCATATCAAAATTGCAGACAATACAAATGTGGGTATTATAGCTGATAACAGATACACTACTCAAAATAACCTTATGGATTAGACAAATGGGTTGTAAATAACAGTGACATTTAACAGAAACAAAGAATTTTTCACCTAGGAAACAAAAATCAAACATGCAGGGGTAAGATGGGAGATTCCTGGCTTGGTAGTAATTAAAAAGGCCTCACAGTAGTAGTGGATTATAAACTGAGTCAGCAGTACAATGTGGCTGCAAAAACGGCAACTGCAGTTTTAGGCTTCATCAAGAAAAGTATAGTTACCAAAGCAGGGGAAGCAATAGCTTTACTGGATTTTGCATTAGTCAAAGCCTTGTTGACTACTGCATCCTGTTTTAGATAATCCCTCGAAGAAAACTTAGACAAATTGAACTAGTCAAGAAAAGAATAATGCAGACTAGAAGGTCAAAATTAAGTCCTTTGAGACTGAAGAAACTGGGCATGTTTAGTCCTGAGAAGAGAAGGCTGAGGGGAGACATGATCACATTTTTCCAATGCCTGAAAGGATGTCAAACAGAAGAAAGACAAAGCCTGTTCTCTATCACCCTAGAGGGCAGGACATGGAATAATAGATTTAAGTGACAGAAAAACAGATGCCAGTTGAATGTTAAAAAAACAAACATTCTAACAATAGTAATAGTTTCACAGTGGAACCAATTATCCAGAGAGGTAATAGACACCCTTCGCTAGATATAAATAAGTAGAGGTTGGATACCCATTTGTCACTGATTCTTTAATTTAGTTTCCTGCATGGAATGGGAGATCAGACTCGATGATCTAAATGGCCCACTCTAGTTCGAACCAATTATCCAGAGAGGTAATAGACACCCTTCGCTAGATATAAATAAGTAGAGGTTGGATACCCATTTGTCACTGATTCTTTAATTTAGTTTCCTGCATGGAATGGGAGATCAGACTCGATGATCTAAATGGCCCACTCTAGTTCTATTATTTTGTTTCTTTCCTAAATTAAAATAATTTACACTAATTTATTTATTTATTAAACCAATTTATACAGCTGCCCATCCCACCACAGGTGACTCTGGGCAGTGTACAACAAAGCTAAAAACAGTCAATAAATACATTAAAAATATAAAAAGCAAAATAAAACATAAAATAATTTACACTAATTTATTTATTTATTAAACCAATTTATACAGCTGCCCATCCCACCACAGGTGACTCTGGGCAGTGTACAACAAAGCTAAAAACAGTCAATAAATACATTAAAAATATAAAAAGCAAAATAAAACAGAGAATAAAAGGATGATAAAAATAAGGGGACCGCCTCACTTATTCCCCTGTCCCCCAGGGTCTCCAGGCCTGCTGGCATAACCAAGTCTTAAAGGACCTCCAGAAGCTCAATGATGAGGCCAACCTCACCTCAGGAGGAAGATTCCACAGTGCAGACAGACAGGCCTGCCACCTGGGGCCCGCCAAATGCAGCTCCCTAAGCAATGGAACCCATAACATGCCCTCTCTGCTGGATCTGATAGGACATGCAGATGAAATCGGGGAGAGGCGGTTCCTCAGATAGCCCGGCCCCATGCCTAGAAGGGCTTTAAAAGTTAACACCACCACTTTGAATTGGACCTGGAAGCAAACTGGTAACCAATGCAGTTCGCAAAGCAGAGGTGTAATGTGTGCCCTACTAGAAACACACACAACTGCTTGCGCCACTGCATTTTGCACCAGCTGAAGTTTCCGGATACTCTTCAAGGGCAGCCCCATGTAGAGCGCATTGCAGTAGTCTAACCAGGTAACCAGGACATGAGTAACTGTGAGGAGGCCCCTCTTATCTAGGAATAAGCACAACTGGCACAATACGAAGTTGTGCAAAGGCCCTCCTAGCCACAACTGCCACCTGCTCTTTGAGCAGGAGTCATGAGTCCAGGAGGATCCCCAGATTGCACGCAGGGTCTGCTTGGGGCAGTGCGACCCCATCCAATACCAAAGATGGTAAAATCCGAGAACCAGAGAGGCTCAAAGCCCAAAGCCACTCAGTCTTGCCAGGGTTCAGTTGAAGCCTGTTGTGCCCCATCCAGATCCTCACAGCCTCCAAATACTGAGATAGGATGTCCACAGCATCGCTTAAGTTGCCAGGGGCGGAGATGTACAATTGAGTATCATCAGCATACTGATGGTACTTCACCCCATGGTGGCGGATGAGCTCACCCAGAGGTCTCATGTAGATGTTAAATTGGAGAGGTGAGAGCACTGACCCCTGCGGCAGGGGGCGGGATCTCTCCTCCCCAATCACCACCGACTGAAACCAACCCTGGAGGAAGGAGGTGAACCAGCACAATACTGTGCCACCCACCCCCAATTCTCTGAGTCAGTCCAGAAGGATACCATGGCTGATGATATTGAAAGCTGCCAAGAGGTCAAGTAAGGCAATGCACAACCATCATCCCGCCCACGCCAGAGATCATCCAAAAGGGTGACCAAAGCTGTTTCTGTGCCATAACCAGGTCTGAACCCTGACTGAAAAGAATCCAGATAATCCGTTTCATCCAAGGTGCTCTGAAGCTGCTGCCCAACCAGCTTCTCAATCACCTTCCCCAGAAAGGGGAGGTTGGATACTGGACAAAAATTGTCCAGTATTGTGGGGTCCAGTAATGGCTTCTTGAGGAGGGAGTCAACCAAAGCCTCCTTAAGAGGTGCAGGAACAACCCCGTCACTCAAGGAAAAAATCACCATCACCAGAACCCACCCACACAACATCCCCTGGGCTGCTTTCACAAGCCAGGAGGGGCATGAATCTAGAGAGCAGGTGGCTGAGCTCACAGTCCTAAGGATCCTGTCCACTTCCTCAGGTCCAACAAGTTCCCAGGTAACCAGACAAGACTCCACCCTAGGCATCTCTTACAGACCTGCATCAAAGCCAGCATCCAACTGCGAACAAATCCGAATGATTTTATCCAGCAGATGCTGAGCAAATTCCTCCACACGACCCTGCAAAAGGTTGTCCGGGTCCCCTGTACTCAAGAGGGCTTGTATCATCCAAAACAGGGCTGCAGGGTGGCAACCTGCAGATGCAATAAGGGCGGAGGAGTTCTTTTCACTTCGCTGCCCTTACTGCCACTTGGTAGGCCTCAATAGCAGCTCTAACCCATGTTTGGCCGAGTTCATCCTTAGATGAGTGCCAGCGACGCTTTAGACATCTCGTCTCTCATTTCATCTCCCTCAACCCCTCCGTAAACCACAGGGAGTGACAGGATGCACAGGAGGGGAGAGGTCACACAGGTGTAATCTGATCCAAAGCTTCAATCACCCTTTTATTCCAGGCAGCAACCAAGGCTTTGGATGGGCTGAGTAGCAGACCAGCAGGAACAGGCCCCAGTTCCCTTTGGAACCCCTCTGGATCCATAAGTCACTGGAGGCGGACCAGTCTAATGGGTCCAGCCTCGCTGCAGTGGATAGCAGCGCCAGAAAATCCCATGGTAGTCAGGACATGACCTGACCATCACAAGGGGGACACAACTCCCCCAAGTGCAGATCACATAGCCACTGCTCCAACAGGAACACCAGATGTGGTGTGTGACCCTGAAAGCCGTAAGTGATTCTCGGATGACAACTGCCACACCACCACCCCTGCCCCGGGTTCTCAGCTGATGCCACACTCGAAACCCAGCTGGGCACATCTCTGAGAGGGCACCACCCCCTTCCGGGCCCAGCCAGGTTTCAGTAATACATGCCAGGTCGGCCCTCTCATCCATGATCAAATCGCAGATGAGGGAGGCCTTATTACAGACTGACCTGGCATTTAAGAGCAACAGCCGGAAGCCAGGACCTCTGATGGTCTGCTGTCCGGGTACAGAGGATGACACCAAGGAGCTAGAACGCAGAACAGGTATAAAACATCGGTCCGTGTTCCCTGGGGCAGCTTCTACTCGTCTCCTACCATATCTCCCCATGCTCGTCACCACAATATTATGGCCCATGCAGATCTCCGCAGTGGCCACATCATAGTTTTCTCCAGGCCCCTCAATTCCAAAGGCCCGGGGGCTCCCATAACAATCAACTGCATCCATCCCCCAGGAGAGGGAAACCAAGCACCCTGAGGTACTTCAGCTTCAGGGGCTCTCAGCACCTTTAGGCACCTGGTCCCCACCTCCGCCCACTCAGAAAACAAGTATACATGCACACATACACAGAAACGCCCAACCTAATACCCAAAGGGCCCCTCCCAGCCACAATCACCCACTGGTAATAGTTCTCTTATCCACCCCACCAAATCAACTCCCTTCTCAGGCTGTCATCCTGAGAGGGGATACATGCAAACAAAGCACTTGGCTGACAAGGTCGGGGAACGATACTCCTCTCCCTCTCTTTGGAGTATCAGAGAAAAAGGCTCTGCGGGGGGGGGGCAGGGGAAGGGTCCACAGCAGATTGCCACTCCACTGCTATCCCCCTCATCCAGCCACTACTAATTCCCCAACACCCCAAAGTACTGGCGGGCCTCTCCAGATGAAAACTCCCATAGAGTCATAGAGTCCGTATAGCAAAATATAGATTTATTATTCATTCATTTATTAAATTTATATGCCGCCCATCTCCCCCAGAGATATGTATTTTAGTGGTGTTTAATTCCCCATACATAATTTAAAGCCAGATTGAAAAGGAAAATCTACCTGTCCCAAGTTTAGCAAAGACTTGCATTGATTCATCAAAGCGCTTTTGGCAGAAAAGGTTGAAGGCATAAAGATTCTTAATATGATGGATCTGTTGCTGTTTTTCATTGTCGGAATCATCTTTCATATCCTAACAGTTTAAACAGAAGCAGAAAAATACTTTATTCACCATAAACTCCAAAGTATAAAAGAAAAATAATAAATAAAGAACTCAAAAATGCAAACCTTAAGAAATAGCATACTGGATCTTAAAGAAATTGATCCTCAATAGTGAATATACTTTTATGTTTATTCACTATTATGAATATATGTTTGAATATACAAGTGGTAAAAATTGTTCATGCAAGCCAGAAGACATATTTCTATTTCAGTTACGCTATCCAAGAATAAGAACACAAATAAGCATCTCTTGTGCATGGTAAACTTTATTGTGGCACCTGTAGTCCATGAACACTGAGACCCATAATAAGTATCTCAGTGATGTATGGTAGGCTTAAATGAGAAATACAGAAAACCAGTGCATTCAAAAATATAATTGCACTGAATGAATGAGAGAATTACATAGCTCACAGTTAGTGTTCTCAGTACACAATCCGCAGTCCCAGGGCTGCACCCCAAAGCCTTGAGCACAGCCCTCAAAACCCCTCCAAACATTAATGCTGACAGAAGGAGAAAAATATTAAATCCATGAGGAGCAATAATATTAACATTATTCAATTAAGTAAATGTAAGGCAAGTAATGCTGTTATTTCAAAAAGGTTGTGCACTCTTGGTATAAGGAAGTGCTCACATGATTGATTCTTGCAAACAAGAAATACCAGTATTAACTACCATTTAAATGTTTTTGCAGCCTTCTTCATAGGTGAGTTTATTAATTTGATTGTACTTATTTTGCATAAGAGGACAAAGTAGTCAAATCTTCCACTGAACTATAGTTTTTCATTTTAATTTTGTTCCAAATTTGAAGAATATGGTTACAGACTTCAAAACAAGCCAGAATAGCTTAATATTGTGGCTTGTTCCCAAAATGTAACCACACTTTCCTATTTAGTGAAATACTTACTGGTTTGTTCATCTCCACTGTACTTACAACCAAAATTAATTATAATCAATGTGTTAACATAAAGAGTGTAAAGAGCAATACTAATACCATGATAAAAACTAAAACCAAATTTTACAAATTTAGAGAATAAGCACTAAATTCTGCAGTTACTCATTATTAGAGGCCTAATTAACAGATGATTTAGTCTTGAGAGAGCACTTTTACTAGATAGCAGCTTATAAATATAATTATTTGTCACAGATAATCATCAACACGTCATCAGTCACGTTTCATCAACATATTAATTTATGGCGTTGTGAGTCCTAATTAGCTGTTTAAAACACAATTGACTAGGTTCACACATCATACTAAACCAAATACAACTCAGGAACCCAGCTACAGACTGAAAACATGTTCAACCTTTCACTTACCGCCAACTGCAAAGCCAGTTCAAACTGTTTATCTTGGAGAAGCTGCTGGATCTGGGTTGCAATGGAAACTGGAATGAGGCGCCAGACAAAATGATTGCTGGCCACATATACAATATTAGGACTAAAAAAGGAAAAAGATATTAGTCAGCAATGTACCTTAATAAAAATAAAGGATTCATTCCTCTTTGCTCAACAACTCTTTAAAATTAATAGTTCAGCGGTATTTATACAGCATTACGTATGATAGATGCAGAACAGGGGGAATTGGGGCAATTAAAACTTTCCTACCCTCCCGAAGTAATGAAGCGTGGCCGCTGCAGCTCAATACTCTGAACCAGGAGACGGGGCTCAAACGTACGAATCTCTACATATCTTGGCAATACTGCTACAACATATGGAGGCTGATGTTCTATTATGGAAACAAAACAGTCAGCAACAGGATATAGACCTAAATTCTCATTCAATTCTCCATTCAGGAACAGCAAGTGTTTTATTACTTTCTTTGTGCCACTGGGCTTTGTAGTCATTTCATGTTCTACCATCACACCAAATGACACTACCTTTAATTATTCAGCCTCCACAATCTGATTTATAATAGGTTGACAAATATCTGATATTAGATTACTAACTGGTATCTTTGGATATTCAGTACATTCAGAAATCCTGTAGTCAGCGGACTAACAGGATACAAGAAGCCTTCGGACATGTTACACTAGAAATTCTTGAAAGAAGTTTTGCCTAAACATGGACTTTTTCAAGTTTTTATCAACTGAATTAATACATGGCATTGATATAGCATTATTTACATTAGGGTTATTGTAAATGGGATTTTGTTTGTCACCCATTAAGTAGTTCCACGGAACTCATCCTCAACAGTCCATTATGGTCATAACTAGAAATGTATTATGTGACCTTTCTGAAGTAGCTTGGCTCTACTTTTAGACACAGTTCTATGGAGTTTTCAGCATTAAAGGTCACAATAAACCTTTAGAAGATGTTGAGACACAGATAAAATTCCACCCTTTATTATTCACATAATAAACTAACACTCTGGGATAATTCAGGTATGAAAATAGCTGGTAAGCCTTTCTTTTTTGGAAGCCATGTGTCATTAATGTCATTAATACTTTAAATCAGATTATGACAAAACCAATATTTAAGCCAACTGACTTATTAAAGGAGGAATTTGAGCTGCTTAAAATATGGAATGACAGTAGATTCAATTAAATATCTCCTATAGTGGCCTGGATGCATTCACTGCAAATAAACCTTCCGAATTACTATTACTAGAATGCATTTTAGTTACATCTAAACCTAAATCAAATTTCTATAAGCAATTAAGGTTGTTACTAACATGGTTTTTTGTTATCTTGAAAAACTTTGGAATAAAGAGCTAGTATATATTATAAAGTGTCTTTAAAATATTAAATATAATTTCTACGAATTTAAAAAGAAACTAATTCAACAGAAAAGTATTTTCCGTATTTACCAAATTCCTCAGAAAATATACAAAAAAGCTAGTATCAACACTGATGGAATCCTTACCCATGGGTTTCTTTAATATTTCACTATGGGTTGATATTCACCAAATTGTAACATGGTGTTACAAAGATCACTGTTGTTTAAGGAATGGGAATATGTGCCAAAAATTTATCACTATATAAAAAATTTTAGATTTACCATTTGAGCAAAGAAAATAATTATTCAAGTAGAGAAGACAGAGTTACTTCAGACTCACAAACTTGAATTGCAGATACACTTTCTACTTACAAACTGGCATTCTATCAATGCAGCAGAAAGACTGATAGCTATCATCTCATGTGGTTATTCATTTAAAAATGAAGATAATTATACACTGGGTGCAACACTTTCTTTTTAGAGATATGATTTTTTTCCAATTTTTTCCCTTTTTCTTTCTTTTTTGCACATCAAAAGAAAAAAAGAAAGGAAATGAAAACAGTTACTCGTTCTTACCCATGACTATTGGGATATCTGTCCAGTTGAAGGCACATTTCTGCGTACAGATTCCTTCTTCATTTAACACAACAGTTAAATCATCTTGGCCTACAACAACTTTGCCATCTGCCAATGGGACTACTAGTGGCTCAAGCTGCTTTCCTGTGGGGAAGAGTTCCTTAATCGATCCCTTCCCATCCACCTGTGAATGGGATAAAAAAAGCTGGTCACCCCATACAAAAAGCCATATCAAGTTACTCATTATTATTAGAAAAAGCTGTTCCTCTTACCCAGTATCCCTTTCACTAAAGCTTACTTCGCTAACCCCAGAGACCAAAACACACGCAAATGGTTCAGGGAATTCCCAAGCAATGATCAACTTCTACCACTGACGTCACAGCAAATGTATAGTACGATCAAGTGCCTCTTTTCTCAGAAGTCTCACTATATTTAGTGAGCTTATTCAGTACAGGAACTAGTGAATTCATAATTCATACTCCAATCATTCATTCCCTTACATATCCAGAAAAATCAATCTTTCTTCCATCTTAGTCTAAAATCTCTTTTACCTTTATTAGATAATAATCCCTTTTGAAACCAACACAGATTGAATCTTTACACCATGCCATTGACTTGGGTACATCTGGCACACTGAAATCTCCCTGGAGATCAAGAAGAAAAAATGTCTAATTAGCTACAATTAAGGAAGCTGTATATTTTCTCCCTCCCTCCCTCCATCTCTCTCTCTCTCTCTCTCTATATATATATATATATATATAAAAAAAAAAAAGCATGTTCCTAAGAGGTATCTCCATTTTTCATTCAAAAGGAAAAAAATTATAAAATTAAAGACAGCTGAATGAATACATTTTTATTACAGCCAAAGGCCAGAGATAAAAGGTATCTCTAAAAACAATTAAAAGCAAGAAAAAGTAGAGTAATACAGGCAATTGAGGTATTGATATGAAAAGTATGTTAGAACTGTGAAAGACTTTTCAGCAATTGATGCCTGATTTTCATGGCTACTGCACAGTATTTTGCTATGGTCTGAGTTATAAATGATTTACATTCTGAAAAAAGAATGGACATGTAAGTACTGTCAGATCACCCAGGGACCGATGTAAAAGAGGCAGATTATAGGAAAATAGCACATGTTGTTTGAACATCTCCAGTTCCAACCAGGCAAATATGTTTCTCAAATGAGATTTTAGAATATCTTCCCTACAGTATTGCCCAAATATTAAATATTGCGCCTTGCCCAGAAGAAAGCTTTCCTTAATATGGGGAATGTCACTAAAGAGAAATAATTGGTCATTTCCCAAACCCTTTGTCACCCAAATTCTGTTTCTCTGTGGCAAACTATTTACTTCTGCCTGAAATCCAATGTCTTTAAATCTCAGGAGAAGTGTGTGCTTGATATAACCCAAGGTCCATAGAAACCGTGATGATAACCCATAAGCCATTAATTTTTGTTCCATGACGTTCCAGCTGAAGGGGTACAAATTAAAGACAGCCGGTCTTGCTTTTTAGAAAAGTTGTATTTACTACTGCTGATATTTCCTTTATAAACAGCAACTAACGTCAACAATATATATCTCCCTGAGTTTTGTAGAATTCTATCTTTCTCTTTTTTTGTTAAATTAATGTTATACTTTACCAAGAAAACTCTGAAAGTGAGGCTAAGTAACTATTAAATTGGGCTTAAGAACTAAATCATTCAAATTATTTTTGAAAATGTTTTCTGTATGAAAAGTCAATGACCCTCTCAAAGCACTGAACCAAAACCAGTACCTTAACATGGCAGTGGATCTATTAAGAACACTAATACAGCACCTGCAGCTCATGGAACTTTCGGTCCTTCCAGTAAAACAGCTGTAGCTTCTTTCTCACTGCCACGCACATTCTCAGGACTTCTTCCCCAGTATCAGAGTGCTGTAAAAACAAATTTCTCTCTAAGCATCAAACTGGAAAACATAATATTAGGCTGTGCCCATACACAATGCTACATCGTTTGCTTAAACATGGCTTATTCAGTAAACCACAACTGCTGTCCTGCAGTATGCTAAGTGATAAACCCTGGCTTGCAAACCACTACAGTTGCATTCCCTCAAGCTGTGCCACAAATAAACAAACCTCATTAGTGTGTTATGTAAGCCCAATGTATATGCAAACTCATATTTTTGGCTTGTTTCTAGCCTCTTCCTGTCATTCCTTCCTTGGTGATTTTCAGTCTCTATTCTTAGAGGTTTTATTCCAGTCTATTCTTAAATAAAACCCACTTCTCAGTAGACCAATAATACCCACCTTTAATATCAAATCACTTACTGAGAAGGACAGAACTACAGGTAGTCCTAACTTACCGACCACTTACTGACCAACAACCAAAGTTACGATGGTACAGAAAGAGGAGACTTACAATCAGTCTTCAACGTTGCAGCTGTCACAGCATTCCCACAGTCACATGATTGTGATTCAGGTGCTTGGCAACCGACACACATTTATGAGTTGTAGCATCCCACAGTCATGTGATCGCCATTTGCGACCTTCATAGCTGGCTTCTGACAAGCAAAGTTAATGAGGAAGCTAGCAGGAAGTTGAAAATCATGGTCACATGGCACTGTGCTTAAGAATCCGTGGTGATTCACTTAATGACTGCAGCCAGAACTGACAAACTGATATCGTAAGTCGGATGCAGTCACATGACTTCACTTTACGACCACATCACTTAGTGATGAACTTGCTGGTCCCAAATGCTGTCGGTAAGTGAAGACTACCTGTACTTGAGCTTGTTTGGAGGTTCTAGCAGGGGAGCGCAGCTATTGTATACCCTTGACCGAAGATCAGTACACTCCTATCTGGGATGGTCATCCTCTTCCACCAAGCACGCAGCTTCAGGAGGGACGCACATTGAGTGGTGAGGAAGGAAGGGGACACCCACCTAGCCAGTCAGATCAGTTGAATCAACCCTGGCAATCAGTGGGATGACAGATATTGCAACCAGATTGCCCTTACATCCAAGACTACCGTACTTTAAGTCTCTTCTCTAAAATGTGATTTTCAGAAGTAGTGAATGATCACCATCTTTCCCCCTGCATTTCCTGAGCATTCATCTAGTAACAAATCCTTTTCATTTTAATCTAACATACCAAATGTTCAAGAAGGCAAGCCTGTGTCCTCTTTTCAATACATACCTTCAGGTCACAAGTGAAGAGAGTTGCACCTTTTGCCTTAGAAACTGTTGTGATCTGTTGAAAGGTCAACAGATCATGAACATAAATGTTGTTTTCTGTTCGGGACAAAATACACAAATTACTGCTTAAATTAAACTATGCACATGACCTAATTCAAATTTCTACAGCTTTCTCATAATGAAATAAACGAAGCAGCAAACATTATTTTATTTTCAAATGAAATGGGAAATTTACAAATATTTTCCAGGGTTTTGTTGATTCTACAATGATCTCAAACACACTGCATACTAACGAGGGATGAACAATGTAAGAACTGTGGATTAAAGCTAAATAATGCTTAAAGAAGATAACAAAATGTGAAGTGTTTTTTAAAATTAATGTGCCCTTTAAAAAATTAAAATAAGAGTAAGTAAAGCAAAGCATTGAAATTCAAGTTAACAGAACAATTTTATGCACTCCTAACTCAGAAATAAATTCCACTGAGTTCAAGGAGACTTAACTCTTAAAGAAATTCCATAGCCCTGCAGTGGCTGCCACACCTTGTTTCAAAACAAAATTAACTTGAATAATTATTTCACTTACCTAATAAACTGACCAAAATTTTAAACTGGGATACAACATGGATCTATTAAAAATAAAAATAAAAATCTTGTAAATAAGCTTCAGAATAAGTTTGTAAAAGTTCACTTGCCCCAAATGACTATAAAACGTAACTGATTTATATGCAGATCCTCATCTCCAGGCAACCTTCTAGTGATAACTATGGAATATCTGATGAAATAAACTCTAATTCATAACTTAGGAAAACATTAAATCCCAACTAGCCTGACTTCTCCCAAAGCAAATTATTTCTGATTGAGCAGGGTTTTTTAGATCCCTTAACAAGCATAACTGTATGACTTAGCATATCAACATCTAGAAAAATATTAAATTCCATAGTAATACATACCACATACAATTTATAAATGATATGCCTATAATTAACTTCCTGAACGACAGATGGCACAAAGACAGCATGAGTTTCTCTCATCTCATTTTAACAGCATTATTTTTTAAAACTCATGCTCCAAAGTAACTGGCTGGTGCTTTTTTCCAAGCAGTTTATGTTGAAATTTTGTTCTCATTCTGGACATGTTTGCCATTTGTTTTAAAGCTCCTGTTTTGTTTGCAACTTGAATATAGCTGTATTCCAATTAAATTTGAAGTAACCATGACAGTCATGTTTTAAAAAGTCCACACATTTTAAAAATAAAGAAATGCTAACTTCCTTCTCTTCCTATATGCATACATTTTGTATTTTCCTTTTTTTTTACTTGATAACTCAAGTAAATGAGAACTTAATAGAAAAGATATTTCAAAATATCCAGCAACATGTTATGATCTGAAGTAGTTTCTTATTCCGAGGTAGCAATCACAAACACACATCACACTTAATTTCCTTAACAGTACAGTAAATTTGCTTTTTTTTTTTAATCCTGCCTTTATTATTTTTATAAATAACTCAAGGTGGCAAACATACCTAATACTCCTTCC